CATCCATGATGCGGTCTCCCTAGCAAGACATGTGACCACCTGACACCCCAGAAAATATTCACAACACCATCAATTACATTCCTCGAACTGTCTTCCACGTCCCTGTGGCAACACTGCAGCTACGTATTTATGCTGTCCAACCCCCTTCCCCTCTCCCCATCCCCACCCCCTCCCAACCAACAGCCATCAGTTGCTCCTCCATATCTCCGATCTCTGTTAATTCTTTATGATACCTTTTGAAATCTAAGGCAACTCCCCACCTTAGATTCTTAATTTCCTTGACATTCACAACTGTTCTTTTAGATTAACTTCTATTTAATTTTTATATTTTTGTTTAAATAATGAAAGTAACAGCAACATTTGCAGATTATGCAAACACAAAAACTTTAAATATAGGAACATAGAAATGACAGAATTGCTGAGTCCTCCTTCCCTGCCAGTCCCAGCTTGTGGGAGGTGTAGTCACTGTTAAGAGCGTGGTATCATTTTTGTTTCAATGAAAATGCTATTTAACCTAACATGTTCTACAGCATGCTTGTTTTAGTTGAGTATATGTGACATAGACATCTTGTGTGTCATGTATTTGGAACAACATTCCTTTTAATGGCTGTATGTTGTGTGGATGTGCCATCACTTAGGGAACATAGACTATCATTCAATTTTTGTTCATTTTTTTATTCTTACAAATAAAGTCACAGTGAACATCCTTATATTTTGTGGGAATATTTCTGTAGAGCAGATTTTGAAATAGAATTACTTTGTCAGAGTATATACATTTTAATTCTGAACTTAATTGCCCTAGACAAATGTCCTGAATTTTATAGACCTATTTATGACAGTATATAAGAGCAGTTTTTCCTATATTTTGACCAAAACTGGATATTATCACTTGTTTTTAGTTTTGATAGTTCATAGGTCAGCAGTTGTCCATCCAAATTAACTTTGAAAACCACTTTGATAAATTATAAAATATATTTTGTTTTTAATTGGTATTCCATTCAACTGAAAAATTGCTCCAGGCATAATTGAAATTTTATACAGTATTCAGCTGTCTCCAGGAACACATTCTACCTCTGTTTAAATCTTTTCTGTCTCTAATTACAGTTTTGTGCATCACCATATATTTCTTATTGTTATTCCTAGGAATTTTATATTTTTAATTAATTTTTAATGCCTTTTTGTCATCTCTTGAGTTACTGTGTTTTTTCCTTATTAGACTTGTTGATGTAATTTGTTATACTAATAGACCTCCCACCCAAAATTTGGTTTGGATATTGAGACAGATGACAGCACACATGCATCAAGAAGATGTGGATTCACATAATGAGGCTTTGTTTAAGTCTGATATTTTAATATTTTTTGTTAGTTTACTCTGGTTCTGGTTCTTCTGTTTTTTCTTCTGGTTCCCTTTCTTTCTATCTTGTTTGTTTACAGTGTTGTTGTTTTTTAAGATTTTTATTGGAGAATTGGGGGGATGGGAACAGCGCTGGGGAATTGGGGGAAGGGGAACAGACAAGTTGCTGTCGTTTTGTTCTTCAGTCTAGTTGTGGAGGACGTTGCT